TAGGACAAACTCATCTTAATTGGACTTCCATTGATTTCGGTGGGAACCAGGCACAACCCTAAAAACACTAACAATGAGTTAATTCAAGAACATAAAAATACTTGACAGTAACAGTCATGAGAACTTTCATTTTCTGTTAGCTCACAGGAAATCCTCTTGAGTAACCAGCTATGCTCTTCCAATTAAGCAAGTACTTTTCCCCTAAGACATGAAAATGGCTTGACTTCATTTAAAAGGGGTGTGCAGAACAGTCCCTGTGCCTTATCTCCGGCATCTGGATCTGATCAGAAAGAGGACAGTCTCCTGGCTTCCTGTGTGTGCTGCAAACAGGCTTTTTAAAAGTCCCGTTGGTTTACATTCCGATCCCAAAGAAGGGCAATGCCAAAGAATGTTCAAACTACCGCACCATTGCACTCATTTCACATGCTAGCAAAGTTATGCTCAAAATCCTACAAGCTGGGCTCCAGCAGTATGTGGACCGGGAACTACCAGAAGTACAGGCAGGATTTCGAAGAGGGAGAGGAACTAGAGATCACATTGCCAACATACGCTGGATCACGGGGAAGGCTAGGGAGTCCCAGAAAAACATCTACTTCTGCTTCATTGACTATACTTAAGCCTTTGATTGTGTGGATCACAGCAAATTCTGGCAAGTTCTTTAAGAGATGGGAGTACCAGGCCATCTTATTTGTCTCTTGAGAAACCTATATGCAGGTCAAGAAACAACAGTGAGAACTGGACACAGAACCACCGATTGGTTCAATATTGAGAAAGGAGTTCGGCAAGGCTGTATACTGTCGCCCTGCCTATTTAACTTATATGCAGAGCACATCATGAGAAAGGCAGAGCTAGATGAATCACCAGCTGGAATTAAGATTGCTGGGAGAAATATCAACAACCTCAGATATGCAGATGATACCACTCTAATGGCAGAAAGTGAAGAGGAACTAAAGAGCCTCTTGATGCAGGTGAAGGTGGAGAGTACAAATGTTGGCTTGAAACTCAACATTAAGAAAACTAAGATCGTGGCATCTGGTCCTCTCACTTCCTGGCAAATAGATGGGGAAGAAATGGAGGTGGTGACAGATTTTATTTTCCTGGGCTCCAAGATCACCGCAGACGGGGATTGCAGCCAAGAAATTAAAAGACACTTGCTCCTGGGGACGAAAGCTATGGCAAATCTAGATAGCATACTAAAAAGCAGAGACATCACCCTGCCAACAAAAGTGTGTATAGTCAAGGCTACGGTATTCCCAGTTGCAATGTATGGCTGTGAAAGTTGGACCAAAAGGAAGGCTGAGCACTGAAGAATTGAGGCCTTTGAATTGTGGTGCTGGCGTAGACTCCTGCGAGTCCCTTGGACAGCAAGGCGATCAAACCAGTCAGTCCTAGAGGAGATCAACCCTGACTGCTCTTTAGAAGGCCAGATAGTGAAAATGAAACTCAAATACTTTGGCCACCTAATGAGAAGGAAGAGCTCCCTGGAGAAGAGTCCAATGCTGGGAACAATAGATGGCAAAAGAAGAAGGGGACGGCAGAGGATGAGGTGGCTGGATGGAGTCACTGAGGCAGTCGGCGTGAGCTTGAGTGGACTCTGGGGGATGGTGGAGGACAGGAAGGTCTGGAGGAGTGTTGTCCATGGGGTCGCGATGGGTCGGACACAACTTTGCAACTGACAACAAGGAGGAAGGATGCACTCTAGAGAAAGAACTTGATGCTTTTTCAAAAGTACAGCACAGGGAGCAGGGGAAGTTGCCTTTTTAGCACTGCTTGTAATCAAATGTATAAAAAGCCCTCCACTAATTGTTCAACATCACTCATACGGTGGGGGGGGGGGTAGCCAAAAAAACCCCAGGAATAATTTTCTGGCGGTCAGGTCCCCTGTAGTACAGGCTTCCCCTGCTTGGTGAGTGTTCTTGGAAGCCATCTGCATCAGCGCACCCAGCTGGGTGGTTGTGAGAGGCTGCATTCGGCTTTAGTGAGTTCTTGTTTTTGTTTGTGGAGACTCTTTCAATGAGTTTGTGTATTTTGTGATGACTGATTTACATGAACAGCATGCATGGGTGACATTTTGGCCATCCGAGTGTTCAACACTTTTGACCAAACACGGCGTGACCTTGTGCCCCACCCTCCCTATTCACTTGATCTCACCCTGAGCAACTATGTTTTTGTTTACATGGGTGAAAAAAGTCCCCAAAGGGAAACGTTTTGCCTATGAGGAAGAGGGGAAACAAAAAACGGCAGAAGCACTAAAAGGCATCAAAATCGGTGAGTTCAAAACCTGTTTTGAGCAGTGGAAAAAAGTCTCGATAGGTGCATTACATCAAACGGCGAGTACTTTGAAGATGACTGAAGTCTGAACATGTAAAAATAAATGCATGATTTTCTATAAATAAATTCCTGGGGGTTTTGGGTCCCCCCCTTGTATATTGGCTTAGTGAAGCTTTTGAGCAGGTCACAGCAAAGCCCCCACAGCGGTTCTTCTGCAAGAAAGGAAGCACATGGTTCTCCCCAGAAAATAACATGTTGCACCCACCTGAATGTAGGTGGGGAGGTTGTGACTTGCAAGGGAGGGAGGGACACTCACGCTCTACCTGAGCCACCTTTCAGTCTCCCGAGGAGGCGGATGCCAGAGGCGCCCCATGCTAAGTTCTCCCCTCTCCCTGTGGTGGCCTTCCACTTCCACAAAGGCCCACTTCCCCTCACTGTGATGCCATCTGCTCAAAATCAGGGGCTGCTGCAGTTAGAGAGTAGAGAAGAGACCCTTTCACAGGTGTATTGCTTATAATCGCTGGATGGCATCAAAGCATTCGGCAGGTAAGAGACCTTCTTAAGTGAAGTGGTTCTCCCCACTAATGCTGCCCTGCTCCCTGCTCCCCACCTTCTTTCAGAAGACACCAGGGCAGCACAATTGTGCAACACTGTGGCACTTCCCAGATTTCTTCTTAGATGTTAATTTTAAAAGCAAGGGATCCGTATCAGTTACTAGCAGTCCTGTAGGAAATGTGGTGAGGGTACAGGCAGGTGGGCACAAAATCAATGGGGAGGGGGCTGTTAATGATTGTGATACTGGAAGGGGTGCATTTTAAGCCAGCCACCCTAATTTGCATGATATTTTTTCCTCGACTCATCCTATTTTCCTGTCTCCAGTAACAAACTCTTGGTGCCATGTACTTCCTGTGGTTTTGCAGCTGAAGTTCCTTATGTCATACAAAGATGCAACGAAACCAGCAAAGGAGCACTTGCAAAGCAGATAAACCAGCCTCGCGAAGCGAGCCCTTCTCTCTCTCTCCAAGATGCTGCCCTGCAGATGTGGTAGGCGGAACTCCCCACCCCGCCGGTCCCGGCCGCCACGGGCTGCGATCTTGTCCTGGGTTGAAAGTGACGCTCAGTCCCGTTTCCCGAGTCCAAACCTGACATCACATCGAAAATGAAAGTGATTCCCACGGCCGATCCTGTTTGCCTGCGGCATGCACGACGGTTGCTTTTCTCCCGAGAGTTGCTAGAGACAACCGGTCCTCCCCAGAGCGAGTCCTCAGTGACTGCAAGCACGGGCCGGGCGCTCCCACCTCGCCGCGGCGCCCCGCGTGGCCCGAGCGCAGGTGAGTGTGCACGGGCGCGTCGCGGGCGGGCGGGCGCGGGCGGCTGCCGGCGCTGCATCGCCGCGCGTGCAAGGGAGTCGCTGAGCTGCAGGAGGATGAGCGGCGAGCCCCGGAGCCGGGTCTCTTGAACGGATCGCGCGCCCAGGTAAAGGAGGGCAGCGCTAGAGGCACGGGGCGATCAGGCGCACCCAGCTCGGGCTGCCTTGGATGGGAAGCTGCTTCTGGATGGCGGGCGGCTGACGCGCTCGCGGAGGCGCCCACCTTTTCCCCGCCGGCTGAGGCGCCGCTCAGATCACACGCCCGGAGTTCGGTTGCTCCTTCTTGGGAAAGGCACACGTGCACATGGGGAGAAGCAGTTGGGTGGAGGGCGAGGGCGCAAGTTGGGAAAGATCCGTTCGGGACGATGTGGAAGGTGTCCTACTCGTTCCCAGGTGTCAGGTCTTTACTGAAGTAAAGTCAGACTTGGAGCTCAGCTGGCAAATTGAGGCCCTTGAGCCCCCAAATGCGCTTAGGACTATCCACAAGTCTCCACAATATGGAGACAGTCTCCTGCGTGAAGGTCATAAGAGCGACTTTTGGACTTTGAGCCTTTACAACAAGGGCACGGGGAGGAGATCTCTGTTGCCGAGAGGCAGCGCAGTGACCTGGAGGCCTCCCTTCCTGCCTGCCCTACACTGGCTAAGGAGATATTCCTGCACGGGAGATTCCGCCTTATGTGACCAATCTGCTCTCCACATCCAAGGACTCAGCCATGTGCTGATGCCTTATTGTTTTTCTACTTTGGCAGTGACTGATGTGGGTGACAGTGCACCAAAGAGGGTATTGGACTGGATGTCATTTAATGCAATTGCGTCAGTGACACCCCCCTGTGTATTTGGCTGCATACACCTCTAGTTCCTAATTCTTTTCTACAGATTTTGGCTAATAGTGGCATTGGGGTGCTAAGCTTCTCTGGGTCAGGTTGAAGATCCAGGGTGATCTTGATAAGCTTGAGCACTGGTCTGAAAGCAAAAGAATGAGATTTAATGAGGACAAGTGCCACGAGAGCCAGTGTGATGCAGTGGTTAAGAGCGTGGGACTGGGACTCAGGCTATCTGGGTTCGAGTCCCCGCTCAGCCATGGAGCCAGCTGGGTGACTTTAGGCCAGTCACAGACTCTCAGCCCAGCCTACCTCACAGGGTTGTTGTTGTGGAGATAAGATGGAGGAGGAGAGATGATGTAAGCTGCCTTGCGCTCTTTGTAGGAGAAAGGCAGGATATAAATCGAAAAATAGATAAATAAATACAGCGGGGGGAAGTGCGACCCCGTCCAGGGTAGGTTGAACATTTCCCAGCTGGAGTGCAGGAGTGCCTACCAAGAGAGCTTTTGTCTTATCTAGATTGAGCTTCGATTTATTACCTCTCATCCAACCCATTTCCAAATTGAGGCATTGGTCTAGGACAGCCACTGCCTTTCCTGGATCAGATGAAAAGGCTAGGTAGAGCTGGGTAGAGTTCTGTGTCACCTGCATGCCATGTGTTTGGTGTGGAAAATATCAATGGAACATTTCAACTGGAGAATTGGTATCAGTGTGCCACTGCAACCATCTGATGTCTGTCAAGGCAAAACAACTGCAGTGGGATAGCTACATCTGGAGTAAGATAACCTGATGCCCTCCAGATGCTTTGAACTGCAAGTTTCAGAGTTCCTTAGTTTTGGCCATGGTCCCTGGTGCTAATGGTCATTGTAATTTGAACTGCAACTGGGGTGTGCCTGGTTTCCTACCCTGGTCTACATTATAATTACCCTTGCATTACTAGGAAAAATGCCCACATCTTATACTAATATAATTTATGCATAATTGCCCTTACTTCCCCTTATTTATTCCCTGTTGCAAATATTGGCTGCTTATATCATTTTGGTGGTGGCATCCAGAGGTCCTCTGCTGACGGAAGAAGAGGGAAGGGGCGATTTTCAGCCTCTTCCCCCTGCCTCCATCCTTTCACCATCTTTGGGAAGGTTGGTGACCACTGGGACAATTTGGAAAGGGCAGAAGGGGCTATTGGGAACAGGAAATAGCTGGAAAATTCTCCCCTCCTTCTTCTGCTGATGAGTGTTTTCCATCAGCAGAGGGGTACCAGCTGAATACCACTGCAAATGTTTAGGCAGCATCTGGGGTTACTGTGTGGGATGTGATGGGTCACAAAGGGTTAAATGCATATCTTTGAAAGAAGATGGAGGAGGAGGAGACAAAGATACAGAGGAAGAGGATTTCTTTTATATTTTTGGGAACTTGGTTGGTAAACTCCTGGAAATTTGGATGGTTGAGTTTAGCAGTTAGCCTGAGCAGTAGTAGGCTGGAGTTCAATGAGGAAAATTGTAAAATCAGAGGAGAAGACAAATTGCAGAAAGCCATTAGATGGCCAAGAGAGGGGGCATGTTGCCAGCCCTGTGAACAGAGAGTAGCTCTGGGTGCAGGTCTTGCATTTTCCTTCCCACATGAGGCCGTTGTTGGAAATCCACCTTGTCAGGCAGGTAATACATACATTTTGTCTCCCCTGGCTGGTTTGTTTTCTCCCCCTGTTGAACATGCAACTGTTTGGAATGTGGGGCTAGACTAAAAGGTGGTAAGAACATTTTGCTGGATGCTGTGCATGTGCCAGGTCAAGAATGAGAGTACACAGGACTTTTTTTTTGTCATAGAACGCACCGGAACAGCGTTCCGGCACCTTTTTTTGACGGATTTTTCCAAGTGATTGTGAATTGCCCTGTTGGGCGTAGCAGGTGTGTCGGCGCTGATTGTTGGCACTGATTGTGAGGATGCTGCTCGGCTTGGGATCGGTCGTGTAGTCACATGCTGAGTGCTTACTGCTGGCGGCGACCATTGTGTTTATGTGTGTGTAGAGTGACTGGCTACGTGCAAAAGGTACATGTTCTTTATGTCAAAAAAAGTTGGTGAATTGAAAATCTTTTTTAGCGTAAGAGTGTGACCCCAAAACGTGAGTTCTGGCACCTTTTTCTTTTTTACAAAAAAAGCACTGAGAGTATGTAAGGTGATGCATTTGGCAGGAATTCCTTGATTTAAGGGGTGCTAGGTGCCTTGTGTGTGAGAGAGTGTTCTAAGGGTTTTGGTAAATGGTAATTGGGTGCTTTTGTACTGAATGTGGAAATAATTTATTTATTTAAAATTTATTTATTTATTTAAAACATTTCTATGCCGCCCCATTCGCCGAAGCCTCGAGGCGGCTCACAACATAAATTAAAATATAATACATTAAAAATATAAAACAAATTAACAATATAAAATAAGTTGCCCTGGCCAGATAAAATAAGCAAATAATATTAACAATTAAAATTACATTTAAATAAAAAGGTCTTCGCCTGGCGCCGAAAAACAAATAACAATGGGGAGCGCATTCCATAGATTGGGCGCCACCGCAGAGAAAGCCCTCCTCCGAGTACCTACCCTCCTAATTTCTTTCACGGAGGGTTCCCGGAGAAGGGCCTCTCCCGCAGATCTCAAGGGGCGGGCGGGCATATATGGACGTAAGCGCTCCTTCAGGTAACCAGGACCCAAGCCGTTAAGAGCTTTATAGGTCATCACCAACACCTTGAATTGGGCCCGGACTTCAATGGAAGCCAGTGAAGCTGACAGAGGACTGGAGTCATGTGAACATAACTCCCAGTCCCCATCAGCAGCCTGGCAGCTCTATTTTGAACCAATTGAAGTATCCGGACCATCTTCAAGGGTAGCCCCACGTAGAGCGCGTTACAGAAGTCAAGGTGGGAAGTCACCAGCGCGTGTGTCACCGTCGCTAGGCAGTCGTACTCCAGGTAGGGGCGCAGCTGATGGATCAGCTGAAGCTGAAGGAAAGCACTCCTCGCCACTGCTGTCACCTGAGCTTCCAATGAAAGCTCTGGGTCGAGGAGCACTCCCAGGCTGCGGACCTTGTCCCTAAGAGGGAGTGCAACCCCATTCAGGACTAAGTTCAATTCACCCTCTCCAAAGCCCGATCCGCCAACCAACAGGACCTCCGTCTTGTCTGGATTGAGCTTCAGTTTATTGGCCCTCATCCAGCCCATTACCTCGGCCAGGCACCGGTTCAGCACAGCCACTGCGTCACCTGGATTGGTGGAGAATGAGAGGTAGAGCTGGGTATCATCAGCGTACTGATGATTCCGCAGCCCACACCTCCTGATGACCTCTCCCAGCGGTTTCATGTAGATGTTAAACAGCAAAGGAGGCAAAATGGACCCCTGCGGTACTCCATGGCATAGCTGCCATGGTGCAGAGCCATAGTCTCACAGCACTACCTTCTGGAATCGGCCATTGAGATAGGAGCGGAACCACTGCAAAGCAGTGCCTCCGACCCCCAATCCCGCTAGCCTATCCAGAAGGATACCATGGTCGATGGTATCGAAAGCCGATGAGAGGTCCAGGAGAACCAACAGGGATGCACTCCCCCGTCCTTCTCCCTGCACAGGTCATCGTACAGGGCGACCAAGGCGGATTCAGTACCGTACCCAGGTCTGAAGCCAGACTGAAATGGGTCCAGATAATCAGTTTCATCCAAGAGAGCTTGGAGTTGTCCCGCCACCACCCGCTCCAACACCTTGCCCAGAAACGGGATGTTGGCCACTGGTCTATAATTAGTGGCCATCTCTGGATCCAGTGACGCTTTCTTCAGGACCGGTCGGACAACCGCCTCCTTTAAAGGGGCAGGTACCCGACCCTCCCTCAGAGAGGCATTAACCACTTCCAAGATCCAGATCCCAATCCCGTGCTTGGAATTATTTATTAACCAAGACGGGCAAGGGTCCAATAGGCAAGTGGTGGGACGTACTCGTCCAAGCACCTTGTCCACATCATCGGGCCGCAATAACTGAAATTAATCCAATAATTCTGGACCAGACGGCAGCATTGGCATCTCCCCAGAAACCTCTGATTCATTAGTGGTGTCCTGCTCGTGACGAATCTGAGTGATTTTCTCCCTGAAATGCCTGGCAAAGTCGTCACAGCG